CGGAGACTTAAGAGTCTATTTTCTACATAATCAAGTCGCTCTCCATTCGATCTCTCTTACGCCAAGATACAAAACGTTTTGGTGAGACTCCACAAATCTGAAAAATAATAACGACAGAATTGAAGATCAACTTCACAAATTAATTATCGTCAATCCATGAAAAGTTTTACCTTGATTTTTGTATATGTTGTAGACTTTGATATCTAGTTTCTATAGAAATAAATTGCTTGTCATTCGGAATCACCTACACCAAGATAGAGACGTTTTGGTGGGACTACATAGAGCTATAAAAAAGAAGAAGAAGATTTCATAGAAAACTTCAAAAATCAATTTCCGTCAATTCAAAAGGGATTTGATTTTTAATTTTGGATATGTCGTAACTCTCTGAGTCTAGTTTCTAGAACATCAAAGGGATCATGATTTCCATGTTCCTACAATAAGCTATGAACTTTCTACCGCAGACGTGTTGTGCTGGAAAAAAAGTGACGAAAATTGAGTTATGTATGCCTTAAATTGACAATCAATCATTGTAAGAGCATGTGTATTTATAGAAATCAAAAGTATATAAATTGAATTTCTACAAATTATGGAAATTATAATGATAAAAAAATTATTTCCTACAAATTATGCAACTTATGGTAAATCTTCATAGGAATTAAATTATGAAAGTTTTCATAAAAATCAAATTATGAAAATTTTCCAAAGAAGTCAAGTTATGGAAATTTCATAGAAACTAAATTACGGTAAGTTTTCATAAGAATTAAAGTATGGAAATTTTCATGAGAATCAAATTATGGAAATTCCATAGAAACCAAATTATGGTAAAGTTTTCTCGAAAACTACATGAAAAAATATGCCCCAAGGAAAATAGACTCGCGTCATGAAAATTTGAATTCCTTGCGTTATATTCAAGTGAAAGCCTAAAATTTGCGTCGAAACCACAAGGTCTCTATCACCAAGTCAAGCTTGTGGACACTATCCTTGCTCATTGAATTGGTGGTCATTTTGTAGTTGATAACCCAAGAGAAATTACTACACTATGAAGAAATGTCATGCGATAAGTCTTCAAAAGCTTGAAACACTTCAAGTCGAAAATAAGTTGATAAACAATCAAAAGTCAAATGACTACTTACAAATTAGAGAATATTGTCATGAAGACTCTGGTAAAGGTTGACCTCAACATATCGACGTTGTCATTTCTCATGAAGACTTCAACTTTCTTCGTCAAAATTCGACAATCCTACACGTAGAGAAGTCTAAAAATATGAACATGCATTCGTAAAGACTTCAACATTCGTTGTCAAAATTTGACAAGTCTACACGTTGACAAGTCTCGAAAAAAGGAAAACACATCTATGACTACTTCAAGTCTTGTCACCAAACTTTGGCAAGCCTCTACGTCGACAAGCCTCGAAGTAAGGGGCATTTGTAGGCACATAAATTGTATTGGATCAAATTCATACAAAATTTGTAATTGAATTCATGTTCATTTGGGATGAATAATTAATTTAGGCTTTACAAATAAATAAGTTCATTTTATTAAATTCAAATCTAAGGTCCATTTCACCTTGAAGCTCAAACCCATGCCACGTATCACAGTGACTAGGCATCCAAGACCAACAAGGTGACGTCATATGATCAAATGAGGTGGTAGTCCCAATCAAATGTAAGAACGAATCACAATGCACCAAGTGTCAAAATGACATCCTTTGGCCAATCACAAGCAACCTTGTCCACTCCCTACAATTATAAATAAGGGATATACATGACATTCAAGGGGGATCTAGAAAACTCTTCAACAAGTATTCAACAAATTGGAGAAAGCTACAACATCAACATCAATAACACTTCGAAGGAGTGACCAACAGAATTCTTCCCGAAGATCGACTTACATCGACGAAACGTTTTTCGACATCCCAAAGATTGACAACATCTCAAGGAGGTCTACATCATCCAATAATTCGGGATTTACGCTACTGAAGACCCTTGAATGGCGGAGAAACTTAGGAGAGAGAATCATGAGAACAACAAAATTGTACTCACAACGATTTAGTAATAAAAATCACATTTTTCTTTTATTCATTTTGCTTGCAGTCGATTTTCAACGCTTACGAAAATTTGTTGCGAATATGAATCATTATTTATAATGATAAAAGCAGTGGTAAATGTCTACAGGCAGATATAGTAACCAAAAATCAATTTAAAACTTGTAGTACGATGACAGTGAAAATAAATCTACTTCACAATTTATCTAGGGTGTAGCGGTGATATACATGATCGAAGTACATCTTCTAAAGCTATGTAATTCTTTAATTAAAGAATGTAATATACACATTATATAATCTTTTTAAGATTTCATCCAATTAATATTTCTTGAAAATGTTACTAATTAAAATGCTTGAAATGTGTTTGATGTGTTCGTTTTTCTTCATTAAGATCTTTTTGTAACTAAATTTTTCCTATTATGATTTTAACAAAGACAAGATTGCAATTTGCACTTTTAATCACAAAAATTCCACTGAATATTTAAGAAAACGTTGGCCTAAAAGACTAATACGAAGACTTCTCAACCCCGCTATTTTGGTTTCAACTATCAAAATGTCCTTGGACCCTGACTTGCCGTCGACGACGACCAATCGAGATTGGATTTTCCCTTCACAGTCATTCAACCTTCCCCGAACTCTGGCCTGGAGATTCTCTTCGTCTTATCCACGAACGAAATCATTTCAGAATCCTCTTTCTCAGCCTCCTTCAAACTCTACTCCTGCCGCAATCCCCCCGAATTCTACGACGCCGTATTAGTCATCGGCACTGGATTGTGGAACGGGAGAGTTCTGTTGATGCTGTTACAGATGGCAAGTCAAACGACTTTCCCGTCCAATCAGAAGAAAGTCCAAGCTCGGGGAACAAAACGACATCAATTTATAAGAAATTTACCAGTTTCTTTCGCTGTTTCACTATTAGTCGGCAGGCGGCTTGCATTATTGCAATAAGCTTTCTCTCTCTTGCCTAAATTTACAAAATAAACAATGGTACCTTATGCTTGGGAGTAGGTTCAAATTAATCTGCTCTTAAAAATTTTGATTCATTAAGAATAGCAAAAGTAAACACTTTACTTGAGTCTGGTGCACTTTCTCAAAGTGTAATTTCAACTATTTTCTTGATGTCTTTTATGTCTAATGCAATTTTTGTGCAAATATTTTAAGATTTGATGTGACTTTCTGAGCGTTTATGATTAAATACTTATTAATGTTTTCATCAAATCTAACAAAGAATAAATTATTATATATATCATTGAAACTAAATATATTTTTGTCAAACATAAAGGATAAAAGTTGTTCAAATACAATACCTTTTATCGAAGTAAAAGATATTGTTCAGTACATACTTAAGGTGGCTATTTTGGACTAATCTCGAACATAAGGAACAATTTTTATCATTTCTCCTCTCTCTCTCTCTTCTTTTTTTTTTTTTTTTTTTTTTTTTTTAATTTTAATAGTTTCATTTGGAGCTACATGTATTGAAAAGAAAATAGCCTAGTGGCCTTTGTTTTGAAACTTGAGCAAAAAAGCGTAGAAGGGAGGGGGTTTCAGCTAGGAAGAAGACGAAATGGCTGGGCTGGAGTGAAGTGGAGGGTTAGGGAAAATGATGAAGGGGGTGGGGAAGATGACACAAATGGGGAAAGGGTTTGACAGGAAAGATGTCAAATAGGAGAAGGGTTGGGGTGGGGAAGAAGACAAAGTTTGAGGGGTTTGTAGTTTTTTCAAAACAAAATTGGCGTGAAATGGTTAAAAGGAAAAATTTAAAAATGAAAAAGATCTTGGATATGCGAGTGCCACGCACCAAAGTGGAGTGTAATAAACATACTTTGTCAAAGATTTGGTGTGTAACCCCTTGAAGGAGGGTGTAAAGAAGGGATTTAGCTACAAGTTCATGAGGAAAACTATGTATTAAGCCTTCAAAGAGGTTCAGAAGCTTTTTTGTACCTTTTTCCGGTGCTATATTTTAAATGAACCCATTAAAGAACTGGAAAAAAATATTGATGTTTCGTTGAGAAATTTTTCCAATTTCTTTCTAAAAACTGAAATATTTTTCTACATTTTTCTTAATCTGAATCCACCTAAGTTACATGTTGAATCTGTAAATTATGGTTTTGTTATGTTTTGGTTGCAGATACTGGTGATGTGCTTTGCATATCTTGTACACAAAAGCTTCTCTTTACAAAATCAAGTTAATCATTTGCAGGTAACTTACAATATCATTTTTGCTTATAATCATGTAAGGCGTTAGCAAATTCATATTAAGTTACATTACATTAATTACACGACCACAAAATTGTTATTCCCTATGTCCCAATTTGTATGACTTACTTCCTTTATAGTCAGTTAAAAAAAAAATGATACATTTCTATATTAAGCGGCAATTTAACATTAAAGTGCTCATTTTATCCTTAATGAAATGATTTGTAGCCACACAAATATCCATCACTTATTTTAAACTATAAGTTTCAAAAGTCTTCTTTTTTCCCTTTTAACTCCGTGCCGAGACAAACTAACTCATATAAAATGAGACGGATGGAGTATTTCTTAAGGTTAAGCTGCTACAATGATCATATTGGTTCCATTTGTCCTACTTTATACGCCATCTGTTATTATTTCAAAAGCTAAATTGTTTTTTTTACTCCAATTTTCTCAAACATCCTCTATGCCTTCTAGTTTTTTCCTTTTCTAAATTTGGTTTGGACTTTTGAGAAGTAGAATTTGACTAAATGTATGCTAGATATCACTAGATTTGTCCCTAACTGTTTACCTGTTTCTTCTTTCCATCCCGTTTATATCAGGATGAACTTTCAAAGCTCAATATCAGGCTGAGACGCTGCAACATTTCAGATTCTATGGACATTATTGACTCGACATAATGTTTCTGGTGCAAGTTTGAAAAATGCAGCATTGATTCTCTCATTATTGATGTTGTTCCTTCCTCTTGCTTTTATTAAATATATGGGGTATTTCTCCTATATTAGAAGACCTTCGGACAGTAACACAGAGGAATTATCTCTGAACAAGCAGCTAGCACACCGGATAGATGTATTCTTATCATTTCATCCTTATGCTAAACCACTGACCTTGTTAGTTGCCACTCTGCTCCTTATTTGTCTTGGTGGCTTAGCACTTTTTGGTATGACAGATGATAGCATAACAGACTGCCTTTGGTTTTCATGGACGTATGTTGCAGATTCAGGAAATCATACTAATTCTGAAGGCATTGGTCCACACCTAGTGTCAGTTTCTATTAGTTTTGGTGGAATGCTGATATTTGGCATGATGCTCGGAGTAGTTTCTGATGCAATCTCTGAGAAGTTTGACTCACTTAGGAAGGGAAGAAGTGAAGTAGTTGAGCAGAACCACACACTTATACTTGGTTGGAGTGATAAACTGGTGGGTCCTTGTAATTAGCTAGACTTGTTCTTTGACAAGTTTAAATGATCTGCTTTCATTTTCCTTTCTCTAGATAACTTCCCCCAAACTGCTGACTAATGTTAGCTCCAGATCTGAGTCACAATCCCCTTAGTATGGTATTTCATGTTTTTGCATTGCTCAGAAGCCTTCTCTAATTTTACTTAAGATTTCCCCCATCATTACTCCAAGAAAATGAGAGAAGCTCCAAACCTTTGATTCTTCTTTTTCTTTCTATAAATTGAGTGTAGTAGAATCAGAAGAATCACATTAATTTTATTGCTTATTTGTCTGCCAAGTAGAATGATGCTATCTTTTATCAATTGTTCGAAGTCCTTCCCAATTTTTTACCATGCTCCATGAAATACTTGATTGACCAGGACAACAATCTTCATTATATAAGGAATTGGAACACAATTGAGAACAATCATTGAACTTTGATTACTTGACCTTGCCAAACACTTATATTTTCTTGAAAATGGTAAAGTTCTCAACGCCCCCCCCCCCCCAACACACACACACACACTCACTTAAATATACATTATGCAGCTGAGTCTTACTGGTATTTGCTGGAGATATCTTAATATAACTCTGTATTTTTAGACAACTTAAAGTGACTTGGAAGAAGTATTGGCCTTGTTCACTAAGAGTACATCTGTATACCCAGGGATCATTATTGAATCAGCTTGCGATAGCTAATGAGTGTTTGGGGCGAGGAACTGTTGTAGTTGGCTGAGCGGGATAAAGAAGAGATGGAACTTGATATTGCTAAAATGGAGTTTGATTTTGGAGGAACTTCTGTCATATGCAGAAGTGGAAGCCCCTTGATTTTGGCTGACCTGAAAAAGGTATGTGTTGTATTTTTGCTTTGAAGTATTAATTATGTCTTCAAAGACCTTTCTTTCCTTTTTATTACCTTGGTATTGAATGCCATTTTCTTTTCAGAAATCTGATTCGATCATGCAATGCTTTATTGTGAAATTTTGCTAGTGTTTCTCTTTTCTGATTTTTTTTTTTTACAACGGTAACAATTTCTCCTTTTTCTCTTTTCTGATTTAAACAGCTTTTCATCTAGATGCCACTTCTTGTCTCATGCTGATTGTTTAATAAAGGCTCCTGAAGTTGTCCAGAATTTGCAAGTTAAATATCTTTTGAGCTCACTGGTAAATTTGTTGTAGGTGTCTGTCTCTAAGGCTTGTGCAATAGTTGTCCTTGCTGAAGATGGGAACGCTGACCAGGTCAGAGCAATAGACACGTTGAAGCAACTCATTTTCATGATTCAAAACTGTAATAGCTAATAAACAAAAATTTTAATGTAGAGTGATGCCCGTGCTCTGATGACAGTCTTAAGCCTTACGGGAGTAAAGGAGGGACTTCGGGGCCACCTAATGGTTGAACTCGGTGATCTTGATAATGAGGTCCTTGTGAAACTTGTTGGTGGAAATCTTGTTGAAACTGTGGTAGCTCATGATGTAATTGGAAGCTTAATGATTCAATGTGCTAGACAGCCAGGTCTTGCGCAGGTCAACTCTTAGCTGTGGTCAACTTTGTATGGTGACTAATGTTTAATTTTATCCTAGCTACTACATTGAGTAGGAGAGAGAAGTATATCAATTCCATGAATCTAATTTATTTCTCCATGGACTTGGCAATGGCAGATATGGGAAGACATCCTTGGATTTGAGAATTGTGAGTTCTACATCAACAAATGACCACAGTTGCATCGCGTGCAATTTGAAGAAGTCCTAATCAGCTTTCCTGATGCTATTCCTTGTGGAATCAAGGTGGCATAATCAGGTGGAAAAATAATACTGAATCCGGATGAATCATATGTGTTGCAAGAAGGGGATGAGGTCCTTGTTATTGCTGAGGATGATGACTCATATGCTACAGCAGCACTGCATATGGTGCTTCCTCTTTTCCTAAGATAGATACTTTCTTTTGTTTCTCTGCTTGAAAACGTAGTCAACCCAATTCACATATTATAACTATGATGAAAAAGCATATACATCACAAAGTTAAAAATATTCTTTAAAAGTATATTCATCAATAAGATAAATGGGTTGAATTTGGTGTAAATTCAGATTCGGATAAATGCCAAGAACCTTTTGTCCTCGACTTCTACACAGAGAAGATGAACTGAATTCTATATTTATTATGATCAATAGAATATAGGTTATGAAATTGTAGAGATTTAAATGAGATCGTAAAGGTTGTTACTCTCTAAAAAAAAAGAGATCGTAAATTTTCATACTGCAGAGATAATTAAGCTTTGATATTTGCAAGCAAAAATTATTAATGCCAGCCACTCAAAGGACACAAAAAGCTTTTATTAGATTCATGATAATCATTAGAAGTCTTACTTAATAAATGGAGTGGAAAAAACTCAACGACTTCAACGTTTAAGTGGATCACATGAAGGAAATCCTCTTCTGCTTTGCAACTGACGGATTCCAGGCATGGAATTCTAGCAAGCAGAACATGGCATGAATAGACTTTCTAAGGTATAATTAATTTGGTTATTCAGGTCAAAGAAGCATCTTTGATGCACATGGTCCGACCAACAAGAAAGCCACAGAAGATTCTACTAACTGGATGGAGACGAGACATTGATGATATGATTGTGGTGAGTTTAAATCAAAGCTCCTAATTCCTTTTTATTTTACATGAATGCTGCAGGTTCAGAGGGGAAACTTGCCAAAGAACTTAATTATCTCAAAGACTACAGAGCGGATTCTTTTTTTGAGGTTGGCGACGAGATATGGAGGATATGATAATGGTAATCTTGTGAGGAGCCAACTGTATGCTTTCCTTACTCATGCAAGCTTTTCTCTATAGAATATGGGGGTAGAGATTTCCTGCTTGTATTCCATATCTACCCACTGCCTGTCAGCCTGTATATATGCTTTTAAGTTTTCAGATTTCTGAATATTTTCTCATTCCATCTCTTAGTTCCAGAGAATGATGAGGGTAATGCTGTTATTCGACGCCATCTAGAAAGTCTTCCCTTGGAATCATTTGACTCGGTGAGTAAGATTCATTAAATATGTAAAAGATGCTCTTTTAGGTAATATGAAGTGACTGTTCTGATGTTAAAGATGCTCAGATAGATTCGATCCGTTATTCTCTTCCTCTGGAATGGGTGGAGGGAATAAGATGGGTTTTCTTGGTGTTCCTGTTCATTTTGTGTCTTTTATAACTTGTATCACTGTTCTGAATTTCCTTTTTTTTTTTAATGTACAGATCTTAATTTTGGCTGATGAATCAGTGGAAGATTCCGCAATTCAGGCTGATTCCAGATCACTTGCCACATTACTGTTAATACGGGATATTCAGGTACTTTGTGGAAGGGATGTTTTATTTCTTATCCTATGCCACATTTATGACAATTTGTGCCCTAATCCCCATTACATCTATTAATGTCTCATATTGTTTAGATTTATGATATGGTCGTTCTAAAAAGTTATTTAATTTTATTGATAAATAGAGAAATTATTCGAGTGATCACATTAGAAGTCAAAATATGACTGACAGCCTAATTTTTAATTTTGATTTTAAAAAACAACAGTCAGTTGCTATATTAAAGCCAAAACATCGGTGGTCAAAAGAAATTCTGCATAACCAAGAAATGATAACAATGAGTTTACAATCCTCTATGGTAAACAATCAGAAAATATTCTCTACATGAATAACCACATAAAAAAGAAAGTGACCGACTTAAATGTAAAATTTTCCTTCATGAAAACTTTCATGTGAATATGATCATACTCATATACTAATCAAAGCTTCCATACATACCTCAGTAACAAAAGTCTCTTTAGGAGACAAAAATCAAACGATAAGCTTTACATAATCAATCACTAAAGTATTATGCTTAGTTGCTTCCTTAGCGCAAGCACCATCAACTTTGGGAGACCCATGACAGTGGATCAAATAAAATCCTCTTACTAATTGAGTGTTTTTAGTTGCAGGTATTATAGTGATTTAACATTTAAGTCAGCGAGTTCACTTTTAAGGAAGTATATATATATATATAGTTATATACACATTTTGGCGTGATTTCTTCACTTCCGTTATTTCTTTTTTGATATGCTTTCTCTCGAATCGAGGGTCTACCAAAAACCTCTCTATCTCCCAAGGTTGGGGTAAGGCTGCGTGCACCTTCCCCATCCCCAGACCCTACTTGTGGGATGACAATGGGTATGTTGTTATTTTAATTGTTAGCAAAACTTTGGTTCCAACATCCCACGTTACATGTTTAAGATCGCGAAATTCAAAACACATTTTTATATATTATACACCTATATTTCATATTACAAGATTCAAAACTATTCTTTATTCTCATAAGCTCTGTGCCCAATCAAACTAAGAAATGAAACAGAGGGATTAATATTTTATCTATAAGTTTATCTCGTACATATATGTAAGTTATATAACAAAAAATTGTTGACCTACAAATCTGGCATATCTATATATCTATCTATCTATATCGATATCTGTACTACCTATAAAGCATTAGCTCTCTAACTTGAATGTTAAATTATTATAATATGCTCAACTATTTTGAAGGGTTGTGATGTTTTTGAAGGGTTGTGACTTTTTCAAAAGGTTGTGACTTTTCGAAGGGTTATCACTTTTTCGATGGGTTGTAATTTTTTCAAAAGGTTGTGACTTTTCTGAAGAGTTGTTACTGTTTCGAAGGATTACAACTTTTTTTTTTGAAGGGTTGCAGTTTTTCCAATAAGGTCTAATAAATACATGTTCACACCTACCCTTTGTTGGCTATAAATAGAGGAGTTCCTCTCATTTTATTAAAGTTTTCTACCCTTCTTAGAAAAATCAAGAATGATTTGCATTAGTTGATTGAGTTCGAAGTTCTGTGGAATTTGAGGTATCACTCTTCTTCTTTGATATCCATGAGGAAAATTTTGCCGCGATTGTTGATTGATTTGTGTGTGTGTGTGTGTATATATATATATATATATAGGCTTAAGTCATCCTTCGCCCCTTAAAGTTGTCTTTACCTATTGAACTTTTTTCTGAAACTTAGTCTAGAGAGGGAGTGGGTGTAGTACACATGCATATGAGGTGGTAACATGACAAATCAAATAAAGACATGTGGCATTTTAATTCAAAATAATTGTAAAAATGAATTTTGAATATAACAAAATCCTAAAAGGAAATACTTTAAACTAAAAAATTAAATGAAATTATACAGCCCTAACCCCACTGCCGCACCCCACCCACCTCAAACCTTTCCATTTCTTCCATTCCCTAATATAACTACCTTGTCCGCCATTGTTAACCTCCATTTAGAAAAATTAGAGGTTTTAACATATATTATATATGAATTTATCATTTTTATTGAACTTTATGCCTTCTTTCGTATTTCCATTTAATTTGATAATGTTTTCTTAAAGTTTGTTCTTTTTTTTTTTATTTCAAATTATTATTTTATGTTCGATTTGTGAGGAAGAATGGGTGTGTGTGGGGAGAGGTGACGATGGAGAGAGATAATATTTAAATAATAATCTCCATTTTTTCCGACAAAGAAGATATGGATGGTCTCCATTTTTTCGGGCAAAGCAGACGTACATAATAATCTCCATTTTATCTGATAAAAAACTGGTGATCTCCATTTTTTTTCCACGGAAGTGACAAAAATAAGATGATTTTTTATTTAAAAAAGACGGAAATTTGTGGCGAAAAAAATGGTGATGGATGGTTGCAGTAGCCAGTAGGCTGGTTTTAACAGAGAGGAAGAAGAAAAAGATTGTTATTTTTTAAGAAAATAATGGGAAATAAAAAAGAAAAAATTGAAAAGGAAAAGGAAAAATGTTAAAATATTGATTTCACACGCTTACCAAGATGTGAATTCCAGTTTTTAAACCACATCTGCATTAAGTGTTTAAATGGTTCAAATTTGAGAAGGTAGAGGTGTTCAATAGTTACTAGCCCTAGTTGAAGTGTCTAAGTGAATTATGCGGATAACTTTAAGGGACTGCAGTATATATATATATATATATATATATATATATATATATATATATATATATATATATATGACAAACCAAAAATCATAAACTTCTTGGCAATAGGTGTTGTCAAAGAATCCAAGTTAGGTTTACCAAATTCAGTGTGAATCCCACACCCACATCCCAATTGTATCAATCAACACGGGTGTGGCAAGGATTTTGAGAGGTCTCCGCAAACATAGGCAGTCATCATCTTTACCTGAACATTTGTGTGTGATGCAATAGCTGACATAAAATCTGTCTGGTTCAAAAATTCTCAGATGTCAATATTACTCCGCTCTCTTCCAACCATGTGAAAAATTACACTCTCAAAAACTTTCTGCTTAATATATCCTTAAGTTTCCAGGTTTAGCGAGGTTCTGTTTTCTTTTTCATTGTTATCATGTCTAAACGATCAGACTGCCTCTTACTTCTTGACTTATTTGGCAGAGTTAGTCTTGCCATCAAACATTTGCATTTTTTCCTTCTGGTATGTGTGAATTTTGGGGTCGTCCCTTTGCAGAACCAGTAGTTTTGGTCTTGATCGGGAGTATTGCTTTACATAGTAGACATTATCAACAGGATCCAGGAGTGGATATAGAAATCCTCTTACTCATTGAACAATTAGCATATTTTCAAATTTAACTGCAAAGAACTAAGGTTGCTCGAGTAAAAATGCAGTCATCGGCCCCTTTGAATTCAATGTAGATGCATGATTTCTATTTTCATAAGTAGCAATATTCTTGTATTATCTTGCTAAATGTTGCTGCTATTTAGATCTACTGTTTCTTTATTTTCATATGCACTTTAAACCTAATTCTATTGAGATGATTTAATTCTATTTTACTTCAATCTTTAAGCTGTGATATCAGATCACGCACTCAGAAATCTGTTTTCTGGTATTGCAGGCCAAACGCCTCCCATACAGAGAATCTATGGTTTCCATAGTTCATGGGGGTAGCTCCTCCCTGGGCTCCTGGAGAGAGGAGATGCAGCAGGCTTCAGATAAGTCAGTTATAATCAGTGAAATTTTGGACCCGAGGACTAAAAAGCTCTTGTCTATGTCAAAGATAAGTGACTATGTTTTGTCAAATGAGCTAGTTAGCATGGCATTGGCCATGGTGGCAGAGGATCGTCAAATAAATGATGTATTGGAAGAGCTGTTTGCTGAAGAGGTGAGGCAACTGGCACGGGTCATGCCTACTGAGTTTCCTGATTTTCTGTCTCAAATATAGTGCATTGCTCAAGTACACATCCAGTATTATCAGAGATTTTAGCAATTATGTATATCAGGGTATTTTATATATATATATATATAGATAGATAGATAGATAGATAGATAGATAGATAGATATAGAGAGAGAAAGAAAGAGAGAGAGAGAAATTAAAATAAAACATAATACGAGAGTGAACAATAAAAAAGAGTAATGACTATATTTGGGAGTCATTTTCTCTTTCGATAATAGAAACAGAACTAGCTAAACAATAAGTTTTTTTTTGGTTTTCCATGTGCGTAGCACGCATTGGAGCTTCGACTAAATTCGAATCGCACATTGTAGGGCCTTTTCGGGGGTGGCGCTTCCGACAAGATTTGTCCATACCGAGGGCTCGAAATTGAGACCTCTGGTTGAGGGTGGAGTAGTCCCGCCATTGCACCACAACTCAATTGGTCCTTCCAAATTAAGGTTGACTCGCAGTTGTGTTATGAGACATTCGATTAGTAAAGATCTGTTAGGACACATTCCTCGTTTTTATTAACTTGAGCTGAAATATATCGCTTGCTTCTCAATATTAAATTTTGACAGTATTCAATGCTTCACTAGATTCTGAAGCATGCCATGCCTTCCTATAATAGATTAGTATTCTGCAACTTCCATTAAGGATGTAGTTATTATTTTTATTGCATGCAACTAATAAAACCTTGTAACATTCCAGGGAAATGAGATGCAAATAAGAGGAGCATCCCTATACCTTTGTGACATTGTGGAGTTGAGTTTTTATGAAGTGCTTCTGCGTGCACGGCAAAGGAGACAGATTGTGATTGGTTACCGTCTTGCTAATGCAGACAAAGCAGTCATCAATCCCCCAGCAAAAACAGAGAGAAGAAAATGGTCAGTTAAGGATGTTTTTGTTGTTATAGCTGACAAGGAATGAAATATGTAATCCTTCCAGCCAACCTGAATTTCTCGTGCATCATTGGTACCATAAATGCAAGATGCCTGTAAGATATTGTCAGTCTCCTCTCGAGTCTCTTGTTCAAATAAATGAGTTGTGGATGCAGATGAAATTGCACTACACATCACATTTTGGTTCAGGAACCATAGCATGATACAATCAACCAATTTTTTTGCCTCATCAACTCTTCACTTAGTATACTAGGATAAAGGACTGAACAAATTTGCTTCAGGTTTCTCTAAATGGCATACATTGTAGAATTCTGTCATGTAAATGTGTATAATGTCATTTTAAGGATGTCAACTATGTTGTTTATCAACCCTACTATTTGTTCTACAACAACAGAGTTGGCAAAACTAATTATGTTTAAAGGTCCTGTAATGCATGAAAACATTGATGTATCATTTCTTTTGAGCATGTTTCAACATTGTTTATTTCCAATAAGTTTTTGCCTAGTCATAAGGTAACTTGTGAAATATCCAGTGGAATGTGAAGGTACAGCAAAGGATAAAGCAACTAGCATCAGATTGGAGGGCATGTTTTGCTGAATTAGTAACACTGTTTGCTATGAAACATCCAACAAATGTACATGGTACATTATGTAAAAATCCATGATGGGTCAATTTTGTTTTACATTTTCATTATAAAAAAAATAAAAGAAACTCGAGGTCTTGACTATACAAATTTTGAGGTAGTATGGTTGATAATCTCAGTGTCTTGACTGAATATAAAAAATATGCATTGTCATTCAGTGGGATTATTATTAGTTAGCTGCAAAACACTTTAATCTTCTATGCTTCAGAAAGATCGATGTTTTCACTGACGGAAGACATAGTTTCAGGGGACGGGTCTTGAGTCTCTTCGCTATCTGGTTGTGATTCATGCTTTGCAGCAGCTTGCAACACCCTGCTCTGAACATCAGTTGAAGAAGGTGAAGTTGGTAGTCCATTACGGTTTGTTTCCAACTTGCCAGCTGCCCATGTCATTGCCTGGCCTCCTAGAATAACTGGGGCCAAAAGTTGTCTGCAAAAATCAACACAGTAAGCATTTGTTTAATATCATCAAAGCTAACAATTTGCAGCGTAAACATACTCCCTCTATCCCAATTTATGTGGATCTTTCTTTTCTAGTCCCTCTATCTCAATTTATGTGAAATTTTCTTTTCTAATGGGTCCCAAACGGAATGACACATTTCCTTACTTGGCAAATGTTTAATGACGCTATCAACATTTTACCCGTGTTGGATCCACTTAATTGGCAAAATGCACACAAAGAAGTACTCTTCTATTTAGAAATTCATTTATTTTAAGGATTTGAAACATATCAAACTCTTTCCATATTTCTTATACTATGTGCCAAACTACATTACATAAATTGAGACGGAAGAAGTAGTAAAATATCTCGTATCACAAGCATTACAAATTCTAACAAAGGTAATGACATTTAACAAGTTAATGGCAAAAAACATCATTCAGCTATGCTTCAAACTTAAACTATATCCTTTACTATCACGTGAACAAAACACATCCCTGAAGTATCTAAAATTTAACATGTTTCATCCTACCGTCAAACTCATGTTTAAGAAACTAACAGAACTGAGGCTGGTTTTCTTCTCTGCTTGTACTTGGCCATGAGTGTTTGCTATGTTGAATTTTGATTTTAGGAAGAGAAAAGAGGCACGAGACAAATTGAAAATGGAGAATAGGGTCTGTTGCTTGAGTTGAGAAACATACAGACAATAATCTGCTTAACTTCAGCTGCATTTCTCTTGTTTCGGGCAGTAAAAAAATTGCACTAAAGCTAGCTGCTAATTCCAGAGGCAGCATCATAACGGGGGAATTCAAGGATACTAAGCAGAGGTTCCTTTTTGCACGGATTTTTTGGCATACTATCGTGAATAATAAAACCATGGTAGGTAGAAGCTCCCACACTACTCAGTGTACAAATCTAACAGCTCAGTCTTTCTGAAGTTGAGGCCCGTAGAGGTTGTACAAACTCTTATTCATGCAACCAAATCACACTCAATCCAATGCAGTTGAATCATCTATGAACTCATTGTCGTTTAAACAAATAAAAGCATTTTTTGCTGGATGTAGAAGACAAGAGGGGAGAAAACAAAATAGCTGAAAAAATGGCCATGTGGTCATGCATAGCACGTCTTTTGGTCAAAGCTGTTGGTTTTTATCAAGAAAACTAACACAAGGATGGATCATGAAATAATTTAAGCAGTTCAGCCATGACTTTTGTTCATTGTGGTAATACGCGGATGTAGTTTAAGTTAATGTAAATTTTTTGGCCAAAAATTCTCATTCAACAGAGAGCCATAGTATAAAAAAAATAGATCTGGGAGAAAACATGATGGTTACTGATAAGATTGTCAAGATCTTCTGATATGATCTCATCATAAAACGGGCTATGTTTGAGTTATCATCATCTTCTGCAGTGTTAATGCATATGCTATAAGAATGACACTATCTCTGACATGCTATAGACATTGAAAATCTATGGAACTCTGCAAGACGTATTCAATTCTAGTTAATGTACAAGAAGTATTCGATTTCAATTAGATTTCTTGGAGACTACTCTAATCTTAAACGCTAGTTTATGCCTATATAAAAGGTATTATATTTACATCTCGAATATTCCGCAACCATCCTAGTTCGAGAAATACGCCATGATCTTATGAGAGAAGAATCAAGGAAAGTACAACTACATATTGATTTATCAATAAAATATACTTGTTTCTACATATTTTATTTATGGTTGATTTATTTTCTATATATTTAAAAATAATTTGGCAACTATTGGCACACCACCCAGTGGAACCAAATCTACTCTTCATCTCTTCTCTCCCTAATCAAATATGCAAATCTAAAGCTAAAAAACTGCAAAGGTGGAGGAATGAGTACTTCAAGACTCATCTTTGATTCATCAAATCTACATTTCGACAAGCCTTGAAGCAGGGACATTTGTAGACATGAAAATTTGTGGCACTCTACAAGAAGTACTCTATTCCAATTAGATATCTTGGGCGTTACTCTAACCATAAACCCTAGCTTATGCTTATGTAAAAGGTTTAAGACATCTTGAATATTCCACAAATTCATGGAATATTCATAAAAAGATCAAATTCAAATCATCATATATATTATTATAAGTAGGAAGCTTCTAACCTCAAAGTTGAATTACCATTTTACCCTTATTTTACCTCTAAAATAAATTAATATTAATATCTATTTAATTAATTAAATATTAAGTAAAAGTTATTTTTAATTAATTAACCTCAAATTCATGCATCAAGTAAGATCTTAATGCATCATATATTCATGTACTAATTAAATGTAGATAATGAAGAGTCTAATAACCTTTCAATTTTAATTTGTAAGATAAGTGGGGGTAATGAAGAGTCTATCAAACACACTCACACCACATTATATATATTCCTTGTTTTATTAAGGTTTGTAATCATCTTGCATTCTACAGTAGGTTAGTCTACTTTCCTTGTAAAATTTTCATTACCAGTTTGTAATTATAAGAATTCTTACTATTTTATTTATTTGTATTCTTTAAAATTTCATGCATATTCATCTTCTTTTTGTTGAGAAATATGTAAATTATGATAGTTACAAGATGTAGATACTCCAATATGAAGTTGTAAGTAAATATTTATTTTTCACATCTCCATCGTTTTGAATTTTTAAATATAACTTCGTAGTTGATTATTGTATTTTTTGTATTCATCCTTTCTTCTATTTTTAGGATATATATAGTAAAGCTAATCACATTTTGTATTTATCATTAATTATTTTGAGGGTAAACATGTTAAATCCCATAAAATAATAATTATGTCTTTTTCATTGTTTGATAATCATTTATCTTTTTAAACCAACATATTTGTACTTTTTCCTTTTTATATGTAATCTCAAATGTTTAAAAAATTCATGTACTTAACTGTTATAGAGAGGTACAAAATAAGTGCAAAAGTAAAATAAAAAATAAAAAATAATGTGTAGTAAAAAAAATGACTAAATGATACATTGAATAATATTATTTTAGAATTCATTCGTATATATATACACTTTAATATATAGTTCAAGAAATATAGTTTATCTTTATTCTTAACATATTCATGCCTTCTTTTTTGTTCGTCTTATTTATTATTATTATATGATTATAGTTTTTTATACATTTGATATATTTTGTCTAGAGTAAGTCATGTTTTGTCTAGAATAAGTCTACTTTTAACAAAATGTAATTCAATTAGTATGAAAATATTTTTGTCTATATATTTTAATGTGATATCTTTTTTTAAGGATGCCATGTCTTTATTTACTTCTTTTTTTCATTTGAAATTGTAATTTTTTCTATAAATTTGACGATATACCGCCCAAATATTTTGTAATATTTTTCTTTATACGTATCTTTTTTTATAGACAATTTCTTTTTTTATTATTAAAACTTATGTTTAGTAATTAAAATATATTAATTCATCTGATAAAATAAAATGTTATTTTTCATGAAGTATTTAATATATCAAACCTCCAACATCTAACACAAGATTTTCATGTTATATTTTGTGCAGAGTTATATTCTTATGTTAAACTTACATATGAAAGGACTTAGATTTGAACTTAGCAGTATAAATTAAAAGTTTCTAATATCAATTAGGGGACAAACGTGTGATGCACGTTCCAAGAACTAGTAGTTCAAAAAATACACCACTAACGGCCTCAAATCAATGAGAGAAGAATCAAGAGAAAGAACAGAATTGTACACATTGATTTATCAATAAAATAGTCTTGTTTCTTCATATTTTATTTATGGTTGATTTATTTTTCATATATTTAAAATTTGTTGGAAACACATGCATCTGCAGTTTCCCAGACTCAATTGTACAAGTTAATCACAGATTGTGTCATAGTACATCTAACAGTTAATTCTCCTTACAAGTAAATTCCTATGTTCGTCGTGTATATATATATATATATATAAACAAACGAGCTGTTTTTCCTTTCAAAGTAACTTCGTATGGTTGTCATATGCATATAGATCGAAGAGCTGTTTCTCCTTTCAAGTGAATTCCTAACAACTTCTCTTTTAATCAAGACATAAAAATCCAACTTGTGTAGGCTAAGAGACTTTTTATTTTTATTTTTTGAAATTGGTAACTAGGCCAAGAGAATTCATTTCATTAGTCAACCCATAAACGATAAACAATGGGTGCGTTAGCTATTTCTTCACTTTTTTTCGTTAAATTGAGCTATTTTTTCACTTTATATTCTTTTAACCTTTATTCCATTTTAGTATAACTTTAGGACTGTGGCTCAAAGAACAAAAAAATGTATTGAGTAACACTATGTAAAAGATATATAGCATTTAACAACAATTCAATTCATGAAAAGAA